TATTTCAGATTGAGATTATAAATAAGGCTATAAAAATCTTTTTGGCTTGTTGGTCCTCACTAAAAAGACGTCTCGTTGGGGCCCCATGTCACGTTTCAGATGTCTCTGAGTTAACAGTTCTACCAAAAAGAGAGATTTCCTTTCTAATCTTCTAAGTTAGTTTTGAGGGCTAAGAAGTGAAATTTCCAAATATAAAAGAACTTAACTATTTCTTCTTTCCCACACCATATTAATTATCTAATGCCCCCCCCCCCCTATTTATTTTGTGACCCTTTTGAGAAAGCCCAAACCCTAGGTTGGAAGACACGGGATAAAAGTTAGAATTAGCTCCATCTCAAAGGTCAAAAGGTAAAACAGTAAAATGCTGCTTACATGACTACTTTTACTTTTGATACAGTACTATTAAGTACAATTATATATATATATATATTTTTTTACTTTAGAAGGATTATGAATTAAGAACCTTTACCTGTAATGAAGTATTTTGTTTGTATTTCCTCCGTCCCTCACAAACAAAATTACTTTAAACACTATTCTAGATGCGTTTTTGTAACATTACTACAAGACTGGAAAATGTCTTTTCAGATGTTTAAGAAACATGTGGATTTTGCAACCACTACAAAAATATACATGCAGTTGATATTGCTGTAGCCTAAAAATCAGACTGAATTCCATTTCAATTTTCACTCTATCAACACAGACAAAATCTCAACTGGGCAGCGATTCAGGCTAATATTGTTGTCCATCTCAAACTAAAGGTCTACCACAACTTCAGTGTTGCCAGACACTTTCTTTTGATAAAGTTTTAAGATTGAGCTCTTTTTAATTGTTTGCTATTTTCTCATTTATACCCCTCTTGCACCTACTTGAGTGAATACATATCACTTTGTTTAATTAGATGCAGATGCAACATTTTCTATAATTGAAATAACACATTCAGAGGATAGTGCAGCCTTCGTGGAGATATCTGTGCTGTCTGAGTGCTTTCTAATTTACTTTTGTTTTTCTTCTCTCAAGTCTGCAGGTTGTTTTAAAGCTCCTAAATGGCAGGAATCCAAATGGCAGAAGGGTAAGTGAAAAATCCACTTTAACACGTCATGGGGCTCGACATCGGTACACCATTTGTAGCACAGTGATGTTTGCCAACCGCGCTGCTCTCTGATCTCATTATACTAAAGGACACCAAAGGGCAAAAAAGGCTGCAGATGCTGGAACCAACCACCTCAACTGGCTTCTTTTATTCATGCGAAGGAGCTGCAGCTCTCCCAGCTTCATCACCTTGTTGTTGAGGGTGAGGAAATCAGATGTGCCTCGTGCATGTGTGTATGTGTTTGTGTTTACACCCACTTGAGAAGCTGAATGAGCAGCCTGGCGTAGCTCTGCATCATGTGAGGCTCCAGGTTTGGCAGCGTGACCAACTCATAGAGCAGCTTGATGAAGAGAATGTGGTCCTCCTTACTGAACCGGCGGCCGTACAGCTTAAGAAACCTGAGGGCAGAGGTGAGGACAGGTTACCATCCAGGAGCAGCAGATCACTTCCTGCCGCTGACCGATATCCTCAAAACACATTAAGTGCACAGCTTCAGCGGCCCAATGTCTCAACATGAAACCTTGAGTATAACCTCTTGAATCTAAGTTGGTGCAAAGTGGACAAAGCTCAGTCTTTATTCAAAGTTGCATGATCAACTTGTGCTCTTAAATCTCCTCTTGAAATGCTCCTATAATGTTGATTTTTTTGGCACTTTATTTGGCACCCTTTTCTGCCAGACCTAGTACCCAATAGTTGGGTTATAAAGTCTGTGTATTATAGCTGTGGCCACCTGTAAGGAAATGCTGACACACTACACAATGTAAATCAAAGTAATTGAAATGTGACAAATAATATTACACATTTGTAAAGCTTATTTTTTTTATTATTTACGGGGGATTCTTCACCTGTGGCCAATTTTGGGTCTAGAAACTTTCAGAAATTGTTACACATATTAAGAGAAATGTACATTTAAGGAAATGTGTTTTATTTCCAGCCTAAAAACTGCTATACACAGACCATTATTATGAATCCTAAGTGAGTAACTATGGGTTTGACTTGCTGTAGTGTGTGTACGGAGCTGGCTTCAACACTTACGAGAAGAGTTTCCTGGACCAGAAGGCGACCCCGGGCCACAGCTCTCTGAGGAGGACAGCTCTGGACAGGTTCGCTTTGATTTCCGTCAGCAGCTCCGTGGCCTCCCGCTCCAACCGGTCGGAGTACGGCAGCAGGCCGTTATACACGATCTCCTTCTGAGGGACAAACCCGGCCATGTCCCCATCCACAGTCATATCCCACTGTTATGTCAGGTCACCTTTCTGCTGAATGCGTAAAAAAAAAAAAGGTACAGAAACCCCCGTTCCCCTTTCAATCTAATGAATGTTGCGCCTTCTAAGAAGTGCTCTGCCGAAGTTGGAGGTGTAATAATCCGCTGTGTCCAGCGACCAGGTGGAAGGCAGGCGATCACAGGGGAAAGTGTGTCACGCTATAATTGAGCTGTGCAAAGCCCTGAGCGCGCGGAGGGCCCGGTTCCGCTCCGACTTGCAATGTCAGGTGCTGCGTCACCTCTCACTTCATTCACACCGCTACAGGTATCCGCCGGCTGCCCAGGCACGCAAGGGCTTGTGCACTGGCCGTGACGCACGACAGGAGGTCCGACAAAATGACTATTCCACAGGTTGCTGAAAAGGGCGCGTTACCCTGTGGGTCCGGCTTTGATTTCAGCACCACTGAGTCCAATAAGTGAAGGCTTTGATACATGAAGGCTTTCATGTGTGGGCTAGGAGGAAGCCTGGAAGGCATCATTCTGGACTACAAGTCCCATAGGCGCTGAATGTGTGTGCTGCAAGCTAATCTGCAGACTAATAGGATGATCTGATAACTGGATTAATGCGCCACTGTTCTACTGACCCAATGTGGCTGATATTTGGTACACACTATGTCTGTCTGGCGCCTTTAGCGAATCATCACCTACCTCTATCGGAAAAGAAAACCTTTTACTTGTAACTCCACCATGCAAGCTAAGCAGGCAAAGTCATGCCTGTGTGATTTGGCTGCACACCACAAAAGCCATTATTTACCTGTACACTGACTTTAATGTGCCAGTCCCGCTCATGATATCCACGGCAAAAGCTTTGTCCCCGACCTTCTCCATTCTTGCAATGCTGTGCACCCTTCCATGTAAATCCATTTACTTTAAGCCCATGTAATTCTCTGACCACTGCATGCTTAAGAGCGGTGCAGCAATTGCAGGATATTGTCTGGCCTGCTCACAGCCGAGGGCTTAGAGCATAATGTGCAAGCCCTTTGAGTTCTCTGGTCTGGTTACTTTCAGAAAAATGGGACAAATTGCTGCAAAAGCTGTCTGATTGCATACAGTGTTCTCAACCCTGCCTTCTGCAGGTCTGTCCACCGCAGTCCTGCAACATTTAATCAGCCTCACCTTTCTGAAACATAGCGCGTGCCCTTTATTTTAACACTCTTCTGTCTATAAACACAGGGCAAGACTGACGGAGTCACAGACTTTGAGAGATCCCAGAACAGAATGTGTCTCCACACGGCATATCAGTCCAAGAGTGTCAAGCTGGACTTTGCCAAGCAATCTCACCCAAGTCTTTACCTCTGGTCTTTTTTTCTGCTTCTCAGAGCAAGGACAGCACCTGCTTTCACTGTCTCCATTGCTGAACCACTTCCAGGGGGAAACATGTCTGTTCCTATATTTGTTCTTTGTTGTGACGTTTCTAGGTATCTGGGTATGTATTTGTATGCATGGGCACAGGCGCTTGCATGTGTGCACATGCACGTGTGCACACATCTGTGAGATTCATTATTCCAGGAGTGGAGTCCACAGATGGAAAATATGATTCAGGATGATGATGCCTCTTTTACTCAGCAGGGAGACGACCAAACAGGGAGAGCGAGGGAGACAGAGAGAGGGGGGGGGGAGGGAGGAAGGGAGGAAAGTGATGGAGGAAAAAGAGAGAGAGAGATGAAAGTCCCAAAGGGAATAGATGTTTTTGAATTCCATCAGCTTGCTCATCTTTACCTCATGATCTTCTGCAGGTAGAAGAAAAAACAGTCACAAGTGCACACACACACATACACAAGCACATCAAGCTTCTCGTTTTCATCAGAGATTTATGGTGATGGCAGTTTTCTCGCTCTTAAAATATTGGAAAAAGTCAGGCAGCCAATAAGTGTGTGTGTGTGTGTGTGTGTGTGTGTGTGTGTGTGTGTGTGTGTG